CCCCCCCCCCCCCCCCCAAGTCCCATCAAAGAGAAATACTAAAATGGGCTAGAAATTTTACTAACAGATTATTAACCCATGGAATAGAAATTACATTGACTTTTACTTTTAAGCAGCACTAGCGCTTAGCCACCTCAGTGCTTCCTTGTTGTATCTCCATTTTTTTAAACAGTCAAATGTGACTTCTTCTTAAGCTCACTCTTTGTTATGAGCTGTTTTCACTGTTGTTAAAAATGGAGATACGACAAGAAAGCACTGAGGTCCTGACTTATAGTCTATAATTCATCTGGACATAAGCAATTTTTTTTCTCTCCAAAATATTCAGAAAGCCAGTTTGAAGAGAGCAACAATTTTAAGACTTAACATGTCTAAAACGCAGTCGAGATATGGCACGTCTTAAAACACGAGCATGAGGTTGAGAATCATTTACCAATAAGCAATATTTAACCCTCTCCCAACACATGGCACACTTATTAAGGCGTCAGAATTGTCAAGGCACATCTAAAAAGTGACTTTATCGGACTTTAAAATAAATTTTTTTTTTCACTATTCAAAACCATTCTACACATTTTATCTCACTGAATAGCCAGGGGCGCTATGAGAAGCATAAAACACTGGCATCCATTGTCTCGAAAAACATAACCACTGCTTAATAAAAGACTGCCATATGTTTTATAGCAGTACAGGACCTTAAAACTAAGAACCAGCTCTCTGTAAACCTAGTTATCTCAATCAGCAATTTTCACTGTGGTTATTCATTAACGCAGCGTTGCTACAAAAATGATTTATATCAAAATGTAAAACAGAGGCCAGCCTCACGTAACAAATAAGACCATTTTTAGATTTCACATTCACCACATAGAATTAATTTCTTAACATACAAAAACCATTTAAAAAATGAAAAGTAATGGAAGGACTCCACATTGTCTGAACACAAGCACAAATCAAAAACTGAATAATAATTTGTAAATATACAACTGAATAATAATCATCCACAGACAAAATAAAGTAATAACAACAAATAAAAATTCAAAGCATTACCAATTCATACAACTAAGTAATAGTGTTTTGTTTCACTAGAATTAAGATTGAGAGTACTAAATAGAGTAAGTATGACAAGAGGTTAGAGTTACATGGGGGATGCAGGCTGAGGTGTCATTTACATGGAACCACAACAGCTTCATGGTTTTGTAATTGTATAGACTTAAAGCCCTCTCCAAGACCAACTCGGAAGATTATCAAAGAAGCAGAAGAATTTGTCAAGTAGACGTTAACAGAGCACCATCATGGTAACAAGCTGCCATATTTTGTCAAGGATGGCTACATGACTAGTTTGCAGCACAATTCCACTTGTACCCCTTGATTGTCGTTCAATTAATTCTTCTACCGAAGTCGTATTAACCCCGCCCCCTGCAACTTCTGCCTCTCCAAACTGAAAACTGAAGCACTTCAGAGTACAACTTTCAGAGGCTTGGATAAATAACTCTTTTGAGTTAGTCTGGAGAAAATGACACCTTTGTTTCACACAGTAATTTTTTGTTCCTAAAGGGAGATATGGCTTCAAAACGTAAATTGCACCAATTAAGTAGGGCAATGATTAAAAAATGTAAATTGCGGGTAAGCTCTAAAAACTTGGTGTAAAAAGTCTATTGCATTTGTATGAGGAAGTGTATGCTCACAAAAGCAAATTGCAAAATGGAAGAAAGGGTATAAAATGACGTGCACTAAATACTGGCAGTCATGACAACTTGCAGCTAGGTTTACATTATCACCTTGCTAGGAGAATTTAATGATAAATAGCATTATGTGCCAGCTCTAAAAAAAAAAAAAGGAACATCAGCTTTTCTTCCTAGTTCCCTCTCCACGTCCTTAATGAAATATTGTACAAATATACTACACTGTTAAGACTGTGAACGGTGATTCCTTAGTTGAAAACACCCCCAACCCACTTCTCTATTTTACTGCAACTGACGACATGAGAGACTGGCCAGGGACAATAGGCAGTAGGCTGGTTGACAGCATGACATCAAATCGACATGCCCACTACAGCTCTGGGCCAATACCTAGCGATGACAACGGCAGCCTCAGAGTTGAAAAAAAAACAACAATGGTCAGTAATTTTTTTTTGTCTGGGGCACAACGGCACACTCCACTTCGTCACAAAGCTTTCTCTGTCCGCCACCCATCACATAACTGTTAACATCAAGCTTCATTATGTTTTATATGGATGCAGACCCATCTGCGTTCACAGATGAACCAATTAAAGCCTATGAACAAGATTAAGAGAGTGAGTCAGCATGGGGAAGACCCAAAACTCTGATGGACAGCAGACCGTTTCACGACGCCCCAGAGAGCAGGAAGCAGCCAAAATGATACTGATAATGGCCGACAACTGGAAGAGAAAACCTGGGAAATAAAGATTGTCATAAAGTAAAATTGCATCACTCTTGTTCACATTCGTCTTTGGTTATTTAACAAAACAACACTACTAGGCCTCCACCTTTATTCAGGCCATTTATATTTCATCACAGTCACTCACAGCTCCAGCTGAGACACGAGAAAGACACAAGAAGCACTGCACCAGAAGGATGAGATTCTTGTCTGGACCAGAGAGAGAGAGAGAGATCAGAAAGGAAAGACATCTTTAGAAGAGAAAAAAGAAACCATATTAAGTGCTGGGGATTGGCTGGGAGATATAGGAGGGAAGGATATGTATTGATATAATGCATTGAGGTAGGAATCCCTTCTCCCCAAACAGCTGTATTTTGTGTCAAGAGTGATTCCCCACTCAATGGGAAAGTACTGTTCAAGACAAAAAAAAGTGCTGTCAATCAGAAACCATTTTCTTGAGAAAGTTTCAAGATGGCAAACCCTTTCTTCCCAACCACAACATCAGGGGAAATCTTGAGCGCCAAACTGTACACAAATGCCTGGATCCACTGAGCTTTTTCTAACTCTTACATTTTAGTAAGCCACAAAAAAGAGATCTGCAGCAGAGTCCACTTAAACTAAAATCTGAGGAACAGCCAGGTTTTTTTCAGCTTAGCCAGGTTTTCAGTTTAGAGAAGTTGTTCAAAAAAAAAAATCAAAAAAATCAGGGGTTTCTATTTTCTTTCCAAATAACTGTGTTCGGTTTAAGCGGACCCCACGTATTTCCACGCCTTCTGTCCCAATATCACTGGGAATCTGACAACACAGTGCGCGTCTCGGAGCCATCATCATCGGCGCAGTGGTGCCGTTTGCGACTGAGCAGGTTCTTCACCCAGAGAATCAGCAGCAGCAACAATGGCAGCACCACCACGACAGCCAGGCCAGCCATCACGTAGGAGACTACCAGGAAAGACTGGTGACTGTCGGGCTTCTTGTAGGCACAGCTCCTCAGGTCTTCTGTGGACATCAAGCAAGAAAAACAAATCAATACATTATAAATAACTATCATTACACCTCTGTGCTAGAACTACTTTAGTTTTCGTAAGAATTTTACGGCACTTGAAACACAATAAAGTCATATAAGTGTCGAAGATTAGAGGTGTTACAAGAGAGTAACAAACACAAAAAAGAAGGAGGGGATATAGAAAAGATAGAGATTACTTCAATATCGTGCATCCAGATTGTTTCTCAAAGTGTTCTTCATCTCTCTGTTGGTGCAACGTTTATAAAAATAAGAGAATGCTTACTATTTGAAGGATTTACATTGCCCCAGTCCTGTTATTATTGGATGTGTCCATGGAGATACAGGCATTATCATACTTATTTTGTGAATACAAATCATTTTTATGAAACTCACACACAGGCATGACTGAAGTTTCATAAACATATTATCATTTCCACTGCTTCGTTATGCCAGCTTTTGTTTGTAAACAGGTGTATGTTTTACATCCCCATTAACACAATATATATAATTTAGGAGTCCGTCTGCTTTGACCCTGTTGCCAGGGCCGGGCCAGCCCAGACTGAATGGAATTTCATGTCTTGTGACACTGTGTGTCCTGCACTGCTGGAGGATGTGTTCCACAATTTGGTCTGCTATTGATGATTGTACATGTTTAAATAATCTGTACAACATGTGTTGTTCCAGTGTAGTGTGACTGAAGACAATTATTTATTTTTAAAGGAACAGCTCATGATAATAATCTGGTATCTTTGAATAGTGTATTTCTGCACACTCCAAGTTAAAAAAGTGAATTCAATATCAATGGCATGAGAGTGTGTGTGTGTGTGTGTGTGTGTGTGCGTGTGTGTGTGTGCGTATGTGTGTGTGTGTGTATGTGCGTGCGTGCGCATGTGTGCATGCACGCAACTAAGCATGCATGAGTTTATGTGAGTGCATAAAAGCAAAGATAATTTTCCACAATAGGTACAAGCACAGTATTGTTCGTGTTTATGAATTTGTTCACCCATTTATGTACAGCACCTTCAGCTGTGTTCACATGAGAGTATACAATTAAGCTCCTTGTGTCATGATGTAGTGGTATCAGACGCTTGTCAATGTTTGGGCATGTGGAGTTATGGAATCATCTTAAAGCGTGTTCATTTGTCTTTCATTTGATGGAAAATCTACCCATCTATCTCGAATAGAAGTCGAGATATTTCTGATTGAAGAAGGTGGTTTCAGAGAAAAAATCATCCAGAAAATGGCTGCCAAAGTATGGTAGCTTCCATAGCTTGAGAGTCCTTGGGAACTAAAAATTCATTTTCTGTGCCTTTTATCAACATTTTTGTCAGTACAACCTGAGCAGAATTATGTTTTCAAATAGACACAAAAGGTGTAGAGCCAAAAACACAAAATTCAATAAAAAATTGCCCAACCAGCAGAAATATACAGCTTTCTTAGATTTCAGTATTTTGATTAGTGCCTGATTTCACCACCATGCCTCACATATTATTATTATCATCATCATTATTATCAAAGATACTAACTCTTGGTATACAAAGGTCCCACTATGGAGTGGTTGCGGATTGGATGATCCGGATCCGGCAGGGGACACGTGGTCTGGCCAAACCCGACGCGCGAGTTATTGCGGTCAAACACGACGTAAAAAGCCTCCATGAGGACAGCACCTAGAACAGCCCCCGTGGTGGAGGGGGAGAAACCAAACTTGACACACATCTCATCCGGCACCAGACCTTTACCATCCACAGACTGAACAGGCCGCAGGTAGTGCTGGGAAAGAAAAGATGGGAAACTGTCAGAAAATGCAAATGTACAATGATGAGATCACTGAAGTAATACACCTCATGAATGTCAAGACAAAAGGGGTCTTTTTTTTTTAGGGGGGGGGGGGCAACTCTTTTACAACTCTTACAACAACACAATTAGGCCACAAGGGAGCAACAAACACAAAAAAGGAAGAGAGATAAGGACAATAGATGTTTGATAAAAGAAAGAAGGAACAAACCACACAAGAGGACCCGCCAACCACGTCTGGTGACAAAACAAGCATTATAACTTGGTTCCAGTTAGCTTAAAATTTAAAGGTCAGACCTACAAATATAAAGGTTATTCCTCTGCAGAAGTCTTGAAATAAAGTGATTTCAGGTAGCAAATAATAAAATCACAGGTACAACACCAAAGTGACAAGCCATACTACGGCTGGCAGACCAGTCATGACCATGAGTGCCAACGTTATTATCAAAACAAAAAAAAAACCAACATACCCACCACTATGATTGGAATAGTTTAGTGTTAATGTAAATGTGCCAAAAAGAACACCAAACAAACAAACATGGGGGTGTGTTAACTTTCGTTCAGCAAATGTTCAGTGACCTTGTGACTTGTGTGCTAGATGTAGAGAGTTTGACATGTTTGTTTGCAAACATTCTTCAGAGCTAGTTTTTTCTCTCACTGGTCCTGAAGAGAGCACTGCTGTTTTGTTTTAGGAGAGGTTTTACGGAACTCGAAACTGCATACGGTCATAATATGAGTGCCAGAAGATTACAGGTGTTACAAGAGAGTAACAAACATAAAAAGAAGGAGGGGGGATAAGGACGATAGAGCATGTTTGATAGGAAAGAAGAAGCAAACCACACCAGAGCACCCGCCAACCACCCACAGAGCACTGCTGGGAGAAGAAAATGCTTGGTGTTCACTTCAAAGTTAAAGTCTGACTTTTTCAGGTACCCTCGAGTGAACCACAGTCTGGCACGCACTTAGCAAAATCGGAGGGGCGTGGAAATCTTTTCTTTATGTTACGAATTTCACTAACCTAGAATTACAAAAGTTCTTTGATGTTAAAAATGTTGAGTTTCACAACATGTCAAGTTTTTCCGAATACAAATACAGTTCTTTAAATATCTTGATAACAATTTCGAATAACCTTATGATTTTAATAGAGCAGATAAAACATTCGGTTTCTGACTTCATGGTCTTACTCACTCAAAACGGCTAAAAATGTCTAATAGAACTTTATAATTCTACGCTAATGATTTGCCATGTTTATGTTTTAAATACAAAAATATACATGTAAGACAAAATTCAGGACCTGAAAATCTATTGAGTATGTGCATATTGACTATGTGCCTGCTAGACTACCATTTTTTTAAAGAACACAAGCAGCAGAGATGGAATTACGTACTGACAGCAGGAAGTCCTAGACAGGCTGAAATATAGCGAGCATCCTCGAGAAGACATATCTGGTAATCCTCGAGAAGACACATATGGTAAGTTTACGCCAATCTAACCTTCTGAAGATAATGTTTAGCCTTACACACCTTTCATCACAACTATCAACAATACTATAGACGATAACTGTTACTGGCTATTCAGTTGTCCCCACTTACCTGTGCAGTGATGTCCAGCCTGAAGGAAGAATTTTCTGACTGCAGGAGATAGAATGAGACCACAGGAAAGAGTTCAAATGGCTCTTCCATGTCACTGAAGCACAGTATGTCTTCCCCGGAGAAGAATGACTCACCAGGCAAATCCCATGGGTTTATTTTCTTGACCTGAAAATGTCAAATAGAAAGAAGTCAATTAAGAACTATTGACAAAAGCTCATTATTTCATGACAAAAGTAAAATGTTTAGAAGTCTGAAAAAGACAAAATTTTTTGGGGAAGCCATGACGTTCAACAAATGCGTATTGAGAAAGTGAAGGAGGTAAAGCATTTAATAACAAAATGCCAGTAAACATACGCCTCTTTGAAATGTAACTATGCTTTCACTATTGACAAGAATGCAGAAAAGACAGGAACTTATTCCACTGTTGTAATAACAACAGAACGACTGACAGCTTTTTTTTCTCATAAAAGGAGGGTGACAAAACTTTGAAAAAATGAAAACAAGACTTCATTTCATTCACTCTCGAAAAAACCCACCTCTTCCAAATTCAAAATCAATATAACAATAAACTTGTCAGGGTCACTCACAACGAGAAAACCCCCCCCAACCCAAAAACTTCCCTTCTTTTAGTTAAGTAAGAGTTTTACGGCACTTGCACCTCAATTAGGTGCTGAAGATTAGAAGTGTTAGATGAGAGCAACAAACACAAAAAAAAAGAATGAGGAGAGATAAGAGCAATAGATGTTTGATCGGAAAGAAGGAGCAAACCACAGCACCCTCCAACCACCCACAAACTCTCTCTTTCGAAAGCCTAACGAACACAATGAGAAGGATGAACATGACCATGCAGGAAAAACATGGTTGAGGAAGACAGGCAAGTAAGTATGCATGTACGTACATTACGTACTGTTTGGCTGAAGGAAAAACATGGTTGAGGAAGACAGGCAAGTATGCATGTACGTACATTACGTACATTACGTACTGTTTGGCTGAAGGAAAAACATGGTTGAGGAAGACAGGCAAGTATGCATGTATGTACATTACGTACATTACGTACTGTTTGGCTGAAGGGAAAAAAAAGGAAACAAAAAAATCTAAACAGAAGAAATTTTCGAAATTCTGACCTGACCAAAGATGTCAGTCTCATTCCTCTGTATGAGATACTAAAATTAAAAAACCCCTTTAAAAAGTTGATAGCAACAACAATACTCTGAAGTCTTTTTGTATTTTTTAAGGACTGACGTATTTCATATGTGCAAAGAGTAAGAGCAGAGATTCTTCAAAAAGAACTTCTCTTTGAAAACAGATTTTCAAACAATTTCATTGACATTTCAAAAATGAGCATCTATTTTCAAAGAATTTTTTTTCAGACAGTGCATCATCTTCTAATGCGTTTTTCTTTAATCTAACTTACCTCCCAGGTGCGTTCAATGGCAGCGACTAAAGCTTTGAAGACAGCATAAGGCAGACGTATCGTTGTAGTGCCAGAGTCCACGATAGTCTTGTCAAAGTTGTACTGAGAACAAAAGACGGGGGCTCCAATCAGTTTGCACTTCATAGTTTACAGTACTTTCAACACTAAAGGATGACATGTATTGCAAAGCTTGCTTTTTTTTCCTCCTTCAACCCTTGTGACACTCAAGTCTAAAAGAATAGACCATATCAGAAAACAAAAGCTTGACCCTAGAAAAAAATTGTTACATCATATTATCTCTAAACTCTCCATATTTTTTTGTTTTTCATGATTCCTTGTCAATATAATGCTCAAGCATCTGCAAGAAATAGTACTACTTATTCTATTTTCAATATTTAATGCAATATTCTTTGTCCTATCTCTAGGTTTTGTTTCAGTAAAGTCAAGCTCATCCACGAAATAAGCGCTATCCAGCGTATAAGAGAAAAGCAGGGCAGACAGAAACAAGAATGGGAAACGAAAGAAGTATGACCTAACAGTAATGTCCTCCAGACACCCATGTCCTACGTTGTGATGAAAGAAACCTTTATGCAAGTGACAATAATCACTTTTGGTCTCTATCAGCAATGAAAACCTGTTCTAACGACCACCTGTCCAAAACAATCACCTGTACAGTCAACTACTTTCAATTTTTTCCCTTGCATAAAATTTTTTCTATGACACTGTCTAAAGGGCTGATCAATCACAACATTCAGAGCAAAGTCATTAAGATATCTAGAAGTCACAGCAAAGAATCATTATAACAGGGTTGAATGAAACCCAGCTAGAGGCCTAGAAGCAAGGCCAGGCCCTTTACTCCGCTGCTATTGACACTCCTATCAACGCTATACTCTCAGGTTAATTTATTAAGAGGCTGGACCACCGAGTTCAACAACCATTCCTGAAAGGACCGAGCCAAAAGGGAAATTCGTGTAAAGCGCCTTTCACATGTACACAACGTTAGACTGAGCTGATGCTCGAAATGAACTCGCAATCTCATGATAATGAGTCCGGTAACCTAAGCACTCTGCATTCAGTTTAAGTTAACTCCACTATATGGGCTCAATAATAATCAAAGGACAGCACACACTAGAAGTAGAATAAAAGTACTCAAAGCTAACTTTTGTGTGACTACCCTGATTCTTTTTCTGCCTGCTGACACCAAATTTCTAGACACCCGATATACAGTTACAGCAAACAATATCCATGTGGCGCACACAGATAAAGGATAGGGTCATCACACACGGTCTTACCTCTTTACAGTCCATGTCCAAAGAGACATCATCCACAGCCATGTCTGTGATGACCACCTCGTAGTACCAGGTCTTGTAGATGGGAGTGTACAAAATGGGGCTGGCCGACAGAGATGGGTCAATACCACCAAAGATCTGAAACATAAAATAAAAAACACTACCTACTGATAGGCGCTTTTATAATTTTTGGAGCCTGTGTTTGCTCCTGTTCTTACTCAGGGGAAAATGGGGCTGGCCGACAGAGATGGGTCAATACCACCAAAGATCTGAAACAGAGAACACTACCAATTGATAGGCGCTTTTATAATTTTTGGAGCCTGTGTTTGCTCCTGTTCTTACTCAGGGGCACAACGACCCAGTACAGTTCAGTTGTGAGTAAGGAGAAGCACATCAACACAATAATGTTCATTGAGTGCAGGGAAAAACTCCTTTCCGATTTTCAAGAGCAGAAATGCACGTTTTGGGAGCATTAAATGAAAATTACCATAAGTGCAAGGATACACCTAAAACTTTCAGTTAAAAAGTAAAAAAAAAAATTAAGCCAGCCCAGCCAAAGCGGCAACAGTGAGCCGACCCCCGTGACCCAGACGTTATATGATGCTCGACAGGGAGCCCCCACTGCAGCTTAAATTCCACTGCTGGTGCACCATGTAGTATTTACAGACATAAAAAGAATTCATAACAAATCAAAGTACATTGCTTTTTTTTGGTCATTAGGATGTTTGGATTGGACATTTACCACGATTTGTGGAAAAAATTGAAAACAGCTAATAAAGAGGAACAAATAATTTAAAAAAAAAATGTTTCAACAGTTATGAGAAAACAGAAGCACATAGCCACACTAAGGGCCATTCAGTGCAAGGGAAAAGCAAAATAAACAGAGATAAATGAGGGAAAGAAAAGAAGCAAGACATACCACTGGCCTGCCCAAACCTGATCACAGGCAAGGACACTCAGATATCTTTCAAAACAACATAATACTACAGGGGAAGCAGGGTAATCCAGAGAAAGCAAGAGACATAAAAACATTGAATGCGACTTGATTTCATTTATTATTATAGTAGAGGGTTTTACGGCGCTCGAACTGCATAAGGTCATATGAGTGCCAAGGGGTGGGTGTCAACAGAGAAGTCTTTACAGGGAATCAGACTTACTCTGCTCACCTCTCTAGCTTCAACAGCACAAGGTCTGCTTCGACTATCAAGGCACCCCGGAAATAGCAGGTCACAAGAGAGTGACAAACATACAAAAGAAGTAGAGGAAAATGACAATAGTAAGGATCAGGAAAGAAAAAGAAGCAGTTCCCTGTTGTAGATCAGGCACAGTTATGAGCGTGACATGAATCAGCCCATTTACAATTCTACTGTGCTTGAACGAGAAGTGTCCCCCCTTTGGGAATGGCCTAAAGACACTACAGTCAGTGGCACTGCCCTGGTGGGATACTTGATTTCAAAATTTCACAAGGCACATCAAGTTTGTGAAGCAGAAAAATATGCTGCTCCAAGGAAAATGAGGAAACCTACCAGGGTCCCTTCCATGAGAGGTTCATCTCTGGTATGTACAAAGGAAGATCCACAAAGCAGCATGGAAAAGACATCCTCCAACTCTGGGTTTTGTTCTATCAATGAATCCCAGAACGGAACAAGGGACGAATCAGGCTAGGGGGAAAAAAAAAGGAAAAGTCATCTTCATAATAACCTTTCACTTTGCTTTCCAATAACAATGTCCAAGTTTCATGCCTATATTATGTTGCTCATGAGAAGTCATCAAGTTTAAATACTAGGTCCAAGTATAAACTTACTTCAATGTCCAGACGACACACTCGTCTCTTAGGTTGTCATTACTCACTTCTTTACTATATTATATTATAACGCTTTTCCATCAAAATATTTTTAAAATGATAACCAGTCAATGATGCAAAGATAAAAATCAGTTTGGAATTGCAGATAGAAACAGAGGTGGGTTCAATTTCTGCCTCCATGTCCTGAGCTTTGGCATAAATAAAAAAACTTGTAAAGTAAAGTTTAACTCCAAAACAAAGCATTCAAAAGGTACTTCAGGTATTGTTTCCAAGAAATTTAGACATCTTTTAATTCCCAAAAGTTGATGACATCATCTAAAAGAAGGGAAGTGTGAACTATCATATAAAAAACAATTAGCAGGAACATTTAATTCTGAAGTTTCAGTGCAGCAGTGAATATATGTAGTACCATCATTCTACAAAGTTCTTCACTCACTATTTCTAAACCTTTTGAGCCCTTGCCTAGCCACAAACCAGTACCCTGTCCCCCAATCGGCCCGCTTGAGACAAAATACGCACGAGAAACCATGTTTATTACACAGGACATTACTGGTTATTTTGAAGATCTTTCGGAATTAGATGCTAGTAATGACGAGGACTACCATGAGTGGGATATGGAATGTGATTCTGACAATCCCACGAACGTTAGTAATATGTGAGGCAGCATGGTGGAATCAGGCTCTCGTCTAAAATAACCAAAGCGAAGAAACTTGCATTTTTCTGCAGGTTTGTGAATTTTTATCAAAATTTGTTTTTTTTGGCTCAACACCTTTAATGCCCATTAAAGAACTCATTTCTGTGTGAATTTTGTGGAAAATGTTGATTAAAGGCACAAAAAATGTAAATTTTGAGTTACCACAGACTGTCAAGCTTAGGA